CATTGTACACTTTATCAGTTAATATCCATAAAATACATCACTTAGCAGTGGTTGTCAGTTTACTCAATGATAGATAACCACTGCTCTAAAATGTTTCAGAACCACTGTTCTAGATAGTGGTTTGTCAATGAAATGATGTTTGGCTGCCCTGGGTAATAGTTTTCTATAATATATCAATATTCAATTTACATAAGTAAGTGAAATGTTTTTTGGTTTCCAAAGGGGTGCATGCCAGAACAAGTGTAGGAACCACAGTTAGGCCTTTTCCACCAACAGGGAACTGGCTCTATTTGCTTTCTTACTCCTAGTTTTTAACCTATCGGAGTGTTTCGACCAAAACAAAATTGGTTCAGAACCTGAAAAGTTGGTTCCGAGCTAGAACCAAACAATAGCCAGTTTTCCTTGGGAACCAAAGTGGGCGTGTCCTATTCTAAAGGTCGTTGTGCATTGTGAAACCCCCTTTGTTGATTACTCATCCGATTATAGTGGTTCCACTCAAAACTGGTGAAAACGTGAGCTGGTTCGCTAGATGACACCAAGGTTCTAAAAAGAAGAAATAGAAGTAACTAACGGTTGTGGGTGCTGTACTGCAAATATACATGCCTTGCACACCTTCATTGCTGTCTGTTGAGGATCCCACTAGTAGAGACATTATTATCCTCTACCCCTCTCCTCCTCCTCTCTGCCTGTGTGACATCTGAATATTTGCTGGAGAAAGAAGCCACTGGCACTGAATCTGAGGGACAAACACTTACTTGTGATGTTTTACATCACTGAAGATTTGTATACCACTAAACTATGAATGTCATTCACTGACATGCAACACAATTGACACTAAAGATTATTTAGGCTTTGCTGTTTCCTTCTCCTGTTGTTTGGCATAATTAAAAACAGACCCGTCTTCATCCTGTGGTTGGTTGTTCAATCCATTTAAGCTCCAAAGTATTGGCCAGAGCAGTGGGTGTTCTAAAGCCCCACAGTGGAGATGATATAGTGCTGTCTGTATGCAGTTAATTACCCATCTTTCACATTGTTCCTTTTAATTGGTGGCACGCTTCATCACCTGCTGACATCCCACTGAGCTCCACCATCATTTCCAATGATGTTGTGTGTGAAATCAAGCAGCCAGACATGGGCACTCTTTTTTTAACATCATGGTGAATGTGTTCTGCTAGCTGGAAGCCTGTGGCTCTGTGGCTTCTTTTCACCATTTCAGATAATATGAACGAGCTTTGTTGCCTAAGAGGATTGATTTTTGGCGCCAGCTGCCACCCACAGAACCACAGGGTCGCAGTCTGAAGGAGCTGAGAAGAGGGTCAACTTAGATTAGTGTTTCTGAGTTTGGGTGAACTAAGGAGGGACGTGTCAAAAATAGGACTCGCCATCTGCCGCTGAGGATGGAGGGACAAGACTTAGAATTCACCCACGGTATCCCACACTGCCTTGCTGCTGTTCACCAAATACAGAGGGATGTAGGATGACTGTGTGTGCTTTGACTTCAACTAATATAGTGTTTATGCTGAACATTAATGTGCTGATCCAGAAGCTCATGAATTACACATTATTTCTACGAAGTTGCATAAAAGAAATAGTCACTGGTGGCAGCAAAGACCGAAATTTGGAAAATATTCTTAATTTCTCTACTTTTGTAGACACTGTTTATGTGTTTGTTTAGCAATGTGTGGGCACATTAATGCCAAGGAGGGCTACAACTAATAATTTCCATTATCGATTAATCAGTCAATTCCCTGGTATGTAGAATCATCTCAAGTTTACAGAGACATTTTCAAATGTCCTGACAGTTCAAAACTAAAACATATTCAGTTTACTATCATAGAAGACAACCAGAAAAGATTTACATTTAAGAAACTTGAACCAGAGAATGTTTGCAATTTTACTTATAAAAATGAGCGTCACTGTGTCCACTTCTGGCTCCAATCTGCTGTGTTATAATAAAGCCAAATTCATGACTTCATTGTTCTCAGTTTCTGTTGTCAGACATGGAATGAGCGTAATAGTGATTTGATCGCAGCTCATAAATACTACCTTTCAGCCAGCAGTCATTCCCAAGCTATGCTGCTGATCACATCATTATTTTAGGAGGACGACATTGTGTGACGGAATCAACATAAATACAGGTTAATGACAACAGCTGTTCTGTGTGATCCGCTAGATTGACATTTAAAATGTGTGATCATAGCAGGCAACAAAAGGATCTCAATTTTTCTAAAACACAGCACCCAGGCCTCTTCTGGCAAGCCTGTCATTGTTTTGTGAATGTGTTTTTGGGTGAGAAAAAGACTAGCCTAGTGAGGACAGAGAGTTTTTTTGCTTAATGTGGAGGTCTCTTTATAATACAGAATATGATAATAAGATGAGGAAATTACAGCCACACAGCATCTGTTCCATTTCTAAATGAGCTTCAAACGTGTATTCATGCTTGGAAAACACAAGTACTGTCAGCAAAACAAATGTATACTATATTATAAATGCACTGGTGGAATGTAACTAAGTACATTTAATCAAATACTGTATTTAAGTACAAATCAAATTCAAGGTACTTCACTTGAGTATTTTCATTTTATGCACCTTTATACTATAATTTTTCATCCCCTTCTTGTCCAGTGAAAACCATATATCTCTATATATGCTGATTTTGAATCTTTGTGATAAACCCCAGGATGAAGTGTTCCTTAATATATTTTCCTCTTAAGTTCAATGGAAATTGGATGGTCACAAACATCTTCTGTATTTCTGACCTTTTTAGAGATACATGGTTCTCACAGGACAGCCACACTACAAACATATGAGGATCTTATAGAATATGATACATCGCTGTAGATGAAACTACTGAACAGTATATAAAGTTGTAAAAATTAGCTCAACATTAAAAATCTGCAGCTGTAAAATGCAACATACACATTAATGCAGCAATGATATTAATCCAAAAACATCCGATATAATAGTAAAACACTGACAGGGAACATTTTACTGCAGAATGAGTAAGTAAGTTTTCATACCTGTATGTATATGAAATTCACTTATCACTGGATGTCACACTAGACAAGCAGCATCTCAGACCAAAACAGTGGGACAGAAATAATATGAAACTACCAAAACCATCTTTGTTAGTCTTTCCAAAAATCAGCAACACTGATTTGCTCAAAATAAACCTTTAATTCACTGAGTTGGTTGAGAAAAAAAGTTTAAAAAGTTAATCCTCTGGTTACAAGTGCACTGGTTAAAGTTAGTTTTTGCCACTGACAGGCTCAGATTGTTATTCTTAAAGTATGACCATTATGGAAAGGATCACTGAAGAGATAGACCTTTTGTTTAACCAGAAAAAGCCATTATTTTGCTATTGCTCCCCACCAGCTCCTCCATAGACAAAAACACAAATTCTACCAAAATAAAAGATAGCAACACAGGCAGAGGGAATGTGATACCATGACTCCACTGTATCTTTACATAGAGAATATATATATATATATATATATATATATATAACCTTTAAGTACATTTTGCTGTACTTACATACTTTTTAAGGTTTTGAATGCAGGACTTTCACTTGTAGTGGAGTATTTTCACAGTGAGGTATAAGTACTTTTGCTGAAGTGAAGGATCACCACTGCATAAATGTGTGTGCTGAATAACAGATGTTCCCCTTCTGAGTTGTTGTGTACATTAGAACCAACCAACCATAATCGTTTAGTTGAGTAATTGTTTTACCTGTTATGCCTTGTCATGTCTCACTGATCCACTCAATGGCCTCCTGTTCCACAGGCAGAGGCATCTCCAGCCACAGGAGTGGACGAACCCCAGACCCCTGCGGCCCCCAGCACCGGTCGCCCTCTCAGCCCCCGGCAGCGTCGGGCCCAGCAGCACAACCAGCAAGGCCAGAGAGACGGCAGAGATCCAGCCAGCAGGCCGGTGTTCCCACCAGCTCCTCGCCAACCTCAGGATGAAAGCCACGCGGGCTCTGCAGTCCTCATCGTGGTGCTCACTCTGGCCCTGGCTGCGCTCATCTTCCGCAGGATCTACCTGGCTCAAGAGTACAAGTTTGACTACGAGCTGTGACCAACTAGGCCACCGCACCCCTCCTCACCCTCTAGTCCACCCCTCCTGCTACCACCCTAACAGAACTATGAGCTGCTCAAGTTGAACCAGAGCCGAGGCGGTGGCTGACGCTGACTTTCTGCCCTCCCTGCTCTTCAGCAGAGGGTTCAGTCTCCACCGAGGACGAGGAGAGGGGGCTTTCATTCCTGCAAAGGAGGCGCTCCACTCGCCACAATGCCTCCTGGGTGTCTTTTAATCAATGTGAATTTTACTCTCCGGAGTGTCATGCATTTTTAAAAACGGGAAGCTTTTCTGTGTTTGTGATCAGTTCAGCAGCCACACACACACCACATCCCCTTTCCACATAATTGTTGTCTATCCTGGGGCTGCAGCTTGTTCCCATTTTTGAATTCAAACTGTAATATAATATATCAACAACACAGAATTATGGGGTATTTTTGTCTCAAGGTTATTATTTAATCAAGGAAGGGCTATAAAGCCTTCTTCTGTATGTGCTTCAGCTTCATGTTAGGGTAGGTCAGCCTCACCATACAGGGCTCTGTTTTAATGGTGCAAGCGTAGCAACCGCTGTGCTGGCGTCCTCAAGTGCTAAGCGAAATCTGAATTTTGGACGACCTCAGTAAGCAGTCCCCTCCCTCCTTCACCACACTGATATTCTGCTGCCTGTCCTTGAGGACCACCTCTTTGTGGAGTTCTCCCTCCTGACTGGATAAAGTGGAAATGGGATACCAGAGAATGTATTCTATAAAGCAGGGACTGGGCACCCATATCACTGACTGTGTATCAGTAGTGGCTCTCTATATATAACAGCAGCTCTAAGTCTTAATTCTCCTGTATCTCATGGCGCTGTTAATGGTCTCATCATATTGTAACTGATGTGATGTAGCAACATTGTGCATTTCAAGAATATGAAACACCACTGTTGTTAAGGTAGTAGTTGTTAAGGTGGCAGTGATGCACAGGGTTGATGAGCTGTGGTAATCCCACATAAACAGGCAGATGCTGGGTTCTAACTTTCCATCATTAACACGTCAACAAGTCCTGCTGCCTTCAGATGACGACAGGGATTTAACGATCTGAAGAAGAGGCTTTACAGTATAAAGCAGCTTTGGATAACTGATACTGTAACAATCACTCATTTTAAAGATTGAAGTTGAAGTCAAATGTTTTGACACAGACCATCACAACATATGACTCTACTGTTGGCTAGGAATAAAAATGTTCCATCCAAGTATTGTCAGGTACTTGGCCGTTCTTTCACATTTTTATATGAACTGACATCACCAGAAAAATCTGCAACAGAAACTGGAAAACCCAAGTCACTGTTTCTGACACTGGCCATGAGATAATGTGAGCCTGGAAATATGCTGCAAATGTACTTGCCCTTTCTCTCAGACCATTGAGAGACTGAATGATATTAGAACATTAATATAATTTAATAATGGCAGCCACTTGTGGAAGTGTGACAGAGCCCCTCTCGCACTCATACATTAAAGGAGAACGTTTTTACACATCAAAGTCTGTTTACCGGGCCTGAGGAATACTAGTGCATATGTGCAACAAGTGGTAAAAAGCCTTTTGAGTCTCCAGAGGGAGCTTTGTGAAGTCTGATAATCTACCTCAAGTGATGTCACTTGAGACAGCGTCGGTTAGGGTAAAGTTACAAAGTAGGGATCGTCACTGCAGTCAGCTTCTCCCGGTTAGGATTCCTTCAGTGTTCATGGTTCAGGAGGTTTCTACCGGGAGCCCAATTATCCACAGAGGTCTCCTCCTCTCCAAAACAA